ACTTCATTAAATGTCTGTAGTAGGTTATTTCTGAAGTAATCTATACTATATAGACCTATCTGAATTTGTTTATTTTTTTTTATTTTTTTATTTACTAATTATTTATCCTTCTGCTTGCAATTAATAATTACACTGTTTACTTGCCTTCAGTAAGATTGAGAACGTTTTACTTTCAATAGTTTAGTATTAGTTTTTGGTGTTGTAATAAATATATTGTTGTTGTTAGTGCCGTTCTGGTGATTTTATCAGTAAAGAAGTTATCCACCTTAAAAGTTACAAGATATTTCTCACTAACGAGGTAATAACGGCACTGTTCTGTAAGTAGATGAACTTAACAGTTTAGCTATTAGCAGTGATGCTGCTGCCGAATACTGTTGAGCGACGCACAGACTCAGGTAATTCTCACACGCTTAACCTCTCTCTCTCTCTCTCTCTCTCTCTCTCGCTCTCTCTAATAACTTCATTATTAACCGCATTAGTCTGCTATCAGTAGATCAAGCCTCTGTTTGCTCTAAAATGATGTTTTGGAATTAGCAATGGAGGCATGGGACGCCCTGGGACCACACCGCCCAGCTAAATAAAGTCAAGTCCTGCTCTGTGATTTTTACATTGTAAAAGCTGTTTCACTCTGAAGTATGTACATCGAGTTAGCCATAACTTCTATTACTTGACTTTAAGTTTACAAAAATCAAAATGGCAAGATGCAATAGAAGTTTGCTTTTGTTACATTTAAATGAACATTAATTAACAATTAAGATACTGACAAACTGTAGTGTTTAGTTTGACTCGGACTCTACACATTTTAGGTGATTGATTAAAGATTCTGACTCGACTTGAACTCGACTTAGGTGGACTCGAACCCAACACTACTGTCTATTATATACTTTACAATCCCATGAGGCCACAGGAGAGGATTTACCAATGGCAATGAAGCGACGCAACTGATGCTGGTAGGTCAAGTGACAGTAACAACATGGCGGATGTAGTACGACCGAATTTCATTCATACTATAGAGAACATACTTTTTAAACCGTCCCAAAGTAAGTTTCAAACCAAATATAGTACCTGCTAGACAATATGCAATTTCAGATTTTGCTTATGCTACAGCTTGAGGCGGTCTACACTGGATAGGTCAAAGCGAACTTTCCAAATCCTATTGTCCTGTTGCTGGAAATGGCACAATCATGGTGTACATCACAAATAGAATGGAACATCAGTTCACAGCTGTCAAACTCTACACGTTACACCACACCACATCCAGCGTAGACAGTACCACTGATTATAATGAGCTCTGTTTGCTTTTGACATGATTCAATGCTTGTGTCCCGTGTAGATAGGTCAGTGAGGGTAAAAAGTTGTCAAAATTAAGTTGGAAAGTGGAAAGGGTGGAACATTGTCATAATACATGTTTACGGTGCAAGAATCCTTGAGTAGTTTTAAAAAGGTCAAAGGTGTCGAATAATGAATTCACATCAGTGAACCATGCAGATGTTCTGAAGTTTGCTGTATTGGTTAGAAAGTTAACTGCATTCTCATTTACTTTCATTGCTATTAGCATATGATCATGACCGATTAAATTAAACAAAGGCAATTAAGCCTGTGCTCAAAGCCCTGTAATGGGACACAGGCAACCATCATCATGTAGATGAGATGTAATTATGTTACGTGATTGTCCTTGTTTCCGTGCAGTCAGAGGATGGAGTCACTGTTGTTTTTCCCTTTACTGCGGAGGATGTTTCATCTGGTTCTCCTTTGTTGACATGATTCAGCGTTCCTTTCTCTGTACTGTCAGGTTCAGTTACTGTGGCCTCTGAAGCACACCTGAGCTGAACTCCTGCTAAGTGTGTGTGTGAGCAGATCCCTCGGCTCCTCCTTGTGACATTGCTTGCACCAAAATATCTCTAAATGAAAGCGAATGAAAAAGGAAGTGATGGGGAGAAGGAGTGGAGTGGATCAATAAGCAACATGGCGAAGGTTGAGCACACGTCTCCTGTTCTAGCACTGCTGCATGTTAACACTTATCCCATGAAACACTGCAGATCATTTGAAAGCTTTTCTGTCAGGGTAAATTAACAACTAACGTTATTCATCATAACACAAGATTGGTTGTCCTGGAGGTCAGCCTGTTAACCCCGTGTGCTGCCCTCAAATGAGTGTACTGAATAGGTATGACTATCTATGACACACTTTATGACTGCTGTCTAACCCATGATGATCAATCTGTTAGTTACCACTGCTAGTCTCAGACACAGAGTTTTCAATATTGTCCTGGTATGGTATGGCATTGGGGCATAAATGTATTGCACTGCATTTTATGTATTATAAAAACATATATTATATTATATTATAGAAAAGTGTTTTGAAAAGCAGGTTTGTCATTTTTAATTGCATAAATATATTAATATATTGACTTCTTTTTAATTATGTAGTTAATACATGAAATTTTTTTAAATATGATGTAATGTAAACTACTATTTAAAAATGTGGTTTTGTATGATTCATTATATTTTATTCGTTCAGCTTCACAAAGTTCATTTAGCAATTATTTATTAAAATAAAAAGATGTATTTCAAGTGAATGTTGTGCTTTTGAAATTTCTGCTCATCAAACAATATTGAAAAAAACAAATCATGGTTTTCACATACATATGAAGCTGCACAATTGTTTTCAACATTGGCAATAATAATCAGAAATTTTTCTTGAGCACCAAATCAGAATTTTAAATGATTTCTGAAGGATCATGTAACAATAAGTGCTGAAAATTTAGCTTTGCTATCACATAAATAAATTACATTTTAAAACATATTGCAACGGGGGGGGTGGGAGGAAATAATAAAATTTCACAATACTATTTTTACTATATTTCTAATCTAATAAATGCAGGCCTTGGTGAGGATAAGATATTTTCTTTCTCAATAACATAAAAAAAATACTGACCCCAAACTTTAAATGTTGTGTCGTGTCATGCCATCATATGTTGAGTCATCATATGTTGTGTCATCATGTCATATATCATATCATGTCGTATGTCATATCAGGTCATGTCATATGTCTACTGCCTTTATAAAACACATTTATATTAATTTAGTTCTCACATTGAGAATTTAGTTTGTAGTGAGGTGAAGGGTAAGTTTGTAAATCGATGTGTGTGCTGGTTGTTTAGTATTCAGGACTCTCAAAGTGTCTCAGAGGACATGGTGCAGTTTGTCGATCAGAGGAGGTGATGCTGACATCTTCATCAGCTCTTCTCTCAGTACGAGAGTTTGAACACACACATCCTTATCACACCATCATCTCCTTCACACTGACCCTGCCTAATCAATTCACACACACTCCTGCTTTTACCGTTCACATCTTGTTCAATAACCGTTCCACGCCAGACGGATCGATGGATCTACACCAATACAAACACTCTCTCACACACACACACACACACACCCCATGTCCTCATGTGTCCCCAGTGAGTTGGAGGACTGCGGTGTATTGCGCTCAGTACTGTTGTGATTCCTGTGGTGTGAGATGCAGGGAGGAGGTCATGACACACTCCTGTGGCACACTGTCAGATCCGTCAGCGCTCTCTAGAGCTTTGTGTGTGTGTGTGTGCTTTGTAGGGGTGTGTCCAAAAAAGTCATCGCTCATAAATGCAGACAAAGGAGCTGCTGATTGTTAATGTTAATTAATACATTCATTAACCTACTGCTAATCTCAGTGTATGATTGACACAACCTCACAGTTCTGAATGTGCTGATGGCTGGATTTGTAATGCATGCTGGGAAAAAAGACAATAAGCTGCAGATTTGTCATATTGCCTTTTGTGCTCCAGGCAGTCAGATGGAGATGTGTCATTTGCAGCTTTAATAACACACAGGCCATTGTGAGAGAGAGTTGTAAATCTCACGCAGTGATTTACTAAAGTTTCGTTTTATATTTTAAAGTCAAGCCATCTTCCTCTCTTTCTCGGTTTAGTGCGGAGTTAATACGGTCTTTGGAATACTTTTTGCACGTGGCTAATAAAGCCTGTCATGGCTCTTACCTGCATTAGTGGCACTAAGATTTATTTAAGTCATCATATTTGAGTCATTTAGTTTGGATTGGACAGCAACCAGTAGTCTTAAGTTTCTGTCACAGTTGTTGGACCAAATTTTGGACAACTACAGATTGGACACACAAAATGGATATGCTCTCGAATGATTAATATTTGTGTTCAGTTTTCCCAGAAGAGAAAGTCTGTCTTTCTTTCTTTCTTTCTTTTTTTCTTTCTCTCCCGTCTGTCCGTCTTTTTTTTGTTTTCAGTCACGTTACTTCAATTCAAAGGAAAAAATAATATATACATATTTTTAGAAATTAGTTTTAACATTTAAATAAAAATATGTATTTATTTATTCTCTTTACTTCAATACAATGAAATGTATTTTTTGTAATATTTAAGTGAAAATGCATTTATTTGCATTTTGCAGTGCGATGTGATCTGGGTGTTTTATTGTGTGATTCCTTCAATGTCAGTATAACAACAGTATCTGAACGGTGCAGTTGTTCTGTTTCTGGCCAGTTCTTGTCTAATACGTCATCTAGTTTATTTAATGTCCCCTGTCTAGTTTTTCTGATTGTGTTCATGTAACAGAGTAGCTATTCATTTGTAACCCTGCGTCATACTTTTCTGCTCATCCAGAGTCTTATCAGGGTCTGGAGTCTCTAGAGACCAGACACTCATAAATCACATCACCCGCTGCCACCCAAACACTCCGCACCGAACCGGAGACCCTATTAACCTGCCCCTATCTTAATGAGTTAGTTAACACACTATTTTCTGTGAATGTAGCTCATCCCTGAGCTCGGGTGCCTGGGGAATGCTGGGAAAGTGTGATAATTGACCATTGTTTATCATTGATTGCAGACTGATGAATGGGGCGAAAGGGACTCCATTTGTTTATGTCTTGTTTTGCTTTATGTCACTGCCATCTCCCCCTCCTCCTCTCCTCTCCATCTCACCTCGTCTGAAGGCTGGAGTCAACGTGCTCCTGCAGGATGTGAACGGGAACATTCCACTCGACTACGCCACAGAGGGCACGGAAACCAGCTACATCCTCATCAGACACCTGGAGGAGAATAGTAGGATCCTTCATTCATTTAGTTCTTTATTTATCAGTTTTATATGACTACATAAAAAACGTGTACTTTGTATGTTTTTTGGTTTTTTTCCCTCTCCCCCCCCCCCCCCCCCCCCCCCTCTCCTCTCCATCACACCTCGTCTGAAGGCTGGAGTCAACGTGCTCCTGCAGGATGTGAATGGCAACATTCCACTCGACTACGCCACAGAGGGGACGGAAACCAGCTACATCCTCATCAGACACCTGGAGGAGAATGGTAGGGTCTTTCATTCATTTGGTTCCTTATTTACCAGGTTTGTATGACTAAATAAATGCATAACTAGGACCTGGAGATTGTTGAACAGTGCACTAACGTTTGCAAGTGTGGGAGCGGTAATTTATATATATATATA